TGCAGATTGATGAAAACAATCCGGGATAGTATTCTGAATGGGACGTTTGTCGAATTTGTCCAACAATTTATGCTGGCAATCCATCCTGATAGAGACTACCCCACCTGGATAAAAGATTCCTTAACTGCTGTAAATATTCCCTTATTATAACAATGGCTTGGTTTTATTGCGTATACGCATATCACTAGCTAGCCTAGTCTCTGTATCATTCCATAGATAAGTATCAACCAGCAACAGTATTTTCTACCAAATATTTAATTTGTACCTTTTTTGTAGCTTTTACAGTTATATAGTTTTACCTCGAATTAACAATTACTAGTCTCAGAATGGACCTTATCTCCATTGTAATTGTATCCAGTTACCTTTATGCGAACTTTTATTTATTATTTGGGTTATATTTGCTGGTAAATTCATACTATTTATTGTATTGATGTGAATGTTTTTGGAGTAATATAACATTAAAAGTATGCAAAAAATTTGTTTATATTATAATAAAAAACCAGAGTGTAATTTAATGTAATATATTACATAAAATCATCAGAATCATTTCCGTCATCATATTTACTCATGTTATCCGAGCTCATCAAAGAATTGTAACTTCGCAATTCAGCTTCTTCTTTTCGTTTTTTCTCCTCTTCCTCATCTTTCTTTTTCTGTTCTCTCATCAGTTTCTTCTTATCCTCGCGGTCTAATGTGTCTCTTTTTTCCCGCTCAGCTCGAAAATCTGAACATAAAAGGTAGATTATAACTGATAAAATAAGATTAAGATTAGAATCAAACATTGCTGAAACTGTTAAATGGGACATTTTGAAAATTAATCAAAGGGAAAACATTTTTTTTGTTGCACAAATAATCTTCTATTCTGGCTTTAATACTAAACACACTGCTCAACAAAACAGACGTTACACGGACAAATTTCGACTGGTTTTGGAACTGGATTAATTGCGATAGCTGAGAGCGATTTGATTTCGATTTCAAGCGTTATTTAGCGCAATTCCTTTTCGGTGAATACGCGTTTTTTGCAAAAAATCAGTGGTTCAGATAAAGTTTCTACAGGGTGGCAGATGAAAGATTGCGAAATTGGTGAAAGTTCCACATGCTCTCAATTGAACAAAAGAAGTTTTTCTGCATTTCTCGTATCTCGGAAAAAGTTTTTGAATTTTCCGACCACCTCGTTTATTTACAGAGTGGTCTGCAAAAAATCAACTTTTTGATCTTGTAGGGAAACATTGTTTTGCACTTGAACCAATTTTGAACTTTAGGGCTCATGTTAAGTTAAAACTTCACAGCGGACTTGCGAAACACAATCTACCGGGTTCCATGAATGAAACATTTGAAAGTGAACTTTCGTTGAAAATCCACGCCAGAATCACGGATTTGGGGGGCAATTTTGATATGGTTAATTTTGTATGCAACCCTGTTATTCGAATTTCGGTCTTAAATTGTCTTTGAAGTTTAAGCTTGAACAAGAGTTCTAGATCATAAAAATCGGACCAAGACCAGAAAAGTTATCGCTGCAAGACCAAAAAGTTGTGTTTTTAAGACCACCCTGTAAATCGAAGAGATGGACTAAAAATTTCGAACTATTTGGTGTATATTTGAATTTTTGGTGTTGAGATGCAAAAAACCGTTTGTCGTCCAACTACGAGCATGCGAACATTCCTAAATTTTGAATTTTTTCATTTGCCACTGTGTAAAAAATTTGTCTGAGATGCTCAATTTTTCAGAAAACAATTACAAACAAATGGGGCTAAATAACGATTCAAAGAGAAACCAAATCGTTTGAGGCAATCGGAATTTATCTACTTCTAACGTTAGTAAAAACTGGGCTGTGTAACGTTCATTTTGCTGAGCAGTTTAATTAATAGTTTTCAGTAAATCGGCATTGGATAAGCATGTAAATATTAATAGTACCGAATTTAGGCTTACATCCTAATTTATTAAAAATTTTGTTAAAAAAAGTTTGCGAAATTCAGTCAAAGCAAATATTCGCAATCTTGTCCTGTATTATTAGGTTACTGCCTTATTTGCTGTTGTTAGTTAGAGTTGTTACCAACAAGACAAACCTGGTTGATTTTCCTTTTTAGTCTTATTCAGCCTGTTTATAATTTCATTTATCCTTTTAGCCACTTTTATTTTTCGCACTTCACTTTCTTTGTGGAATCCTACTTGACCAACTTCCATGCCCGCTGTCTTTTTTAAATTAGACCACATGGTATAAACTACGCCAACGTCATTCATTTTGTTACCCATTATACTATTGGCTTTTACTAATTGTGCGGCATCTTCAATAACGGCCGAAGGAATGTCATCTATAGTTTGACCCTAAAGCAAAAACACAATTTTCTATCAAGTTACAGAAAAACATATTTATTGGATATATGGGGTCATCCAGATTGAAGGCCAAACATTGGAACATTTTTCAATGCAAATTGCACCATCTGCAATCCATTTAAAAGACATTGTATAGTTAATTTTGTGCACCCGCAGTAAGTCAGATATAAATTTAAAAAAAACAATTTTTGTTTATATTTTGATGATATCTGATGTTTTTCTTTTTTTATTAGTACCGACACAGGGTGGTCCAGTTTCCAGATCAGACTTCAGGAAACGATAGTCAATCGAAGTTTTCGCTCTGGAAACTCGACCGACTAGACGAATTAAAAGTGCAATTTAGTTTACACGACTGCGGAATAAATCGAGTGTAAGCTTAAGTTTATTTCTAAAATAAATAATGCGCTGGAGCTGCAGCTTAATTAATTCATATATCTTCAAAAATGCTGCAAAAATTAATGAAAACTGCATCCGTGATAAACAAAAAAAAATCAACCAAAAAGATTTATTATAAATGAACATTTTGAAGTGGCTGTTTTGGGACACGCTACAATTGCATGCACAATGCATCAGGAGGTCTTACATGGAGACACAAATTATATGGAGAATTTAAAGAGCTCAAAATTTACCCTTGCAAGATCAAACTTGTTGAGGAAGTAAACGAAGACCACAGATTTACGAAATGGACAAATAATATATTAAGTAACGTGAAAGTATTGTTCAATAGTGGTTGTAGTGGTGATGCACGTTTTTCCTTTGAACCCAGAAGTCGACAGACATAACTGTAGATTGAAAAATGATGAAAATGAATGACGAAAAAATGTTTCAAAATGAACTAGTTAGCCGGCAAGATGAACTTCACTATGGGATTTCCGCTCAATATTTTTTTCCTGTCGGACGCATTGAAAGAAGTGGTCCCAACGAATTCTCGGCTGATCATCCGACGTATTTTTGTTTGATAATTTTTATGAGGGTATTTGAAGTCTAAAGTGTGTCCAAAATTCAGCACAGCCGAACAATATTGAAGATCTTAAGCAGAGAGTAATATTAAACGTCGATAATTAACACAAGTTGCTGCAAATGTATAGAAGTCAACGGAAGAAGAAACTAAAATAAATGCAGTTTTATATCTCAATTTGAGACGAATACAACTGAATAGTGGAATGTATTCTTTATCATACAATCTTTGTGCCTAACCATGTAGCACACATGGAATGGGGTGCCATTTGAAAATTTACAGAGAGTATTGATGGCTAAGGGGTATAAAAAGACATGCTTTGGAAACAATTGCAATTAAAAAATAGTGAGGATGGCTTGTGTTTTCTGAAAAACTTTGAATCCTGAATACTTAGGAAACAACTTAAGAATAAACTAACCTACCGATCTGAGTCGTAAATAAACATGGGCAGACGATAGTTCGTCTACATGAAACCAGACATCTTCTGGCCAACCCCATTTTATTAAGTCTTCATCTAAAACAGATCACTTTCATTGTAATTTTATTTACTTATGCACATTTAAAATACCAACTTTCGTGCTTATCAATGCCCATATACAGAAGTGCTGGTGGGGAAACTATACTACTTTCGAAGTAATACACCATTTTGAGGGCTTAATTCAAATAACAAAAACCAAAAAGTTTTTGAATCTAGATCCAAAATTATAACCTATAATTCTTAAGTGACAAGACATGTAATCGTCTTCTCTGCCTTTCTTCTCTAGACTTTGCGGACAATTTCAGAAGAATAGTATACCGAAATAACAAGAAACGAAAGCCTTCCTGCTCAATGTGGCAATATACAGAGTGTTGATAAAATATAGACACGCTGTCGGATACATATTACAAGGTTTAAAAATAACGACAAGTTGTTATAAACGTTATTACGTTTTTTCGTAATGAGTGATTCCCAATATGAAAATTTTTGAACTTTATACAAATAAGGTCATTCCTCTGGGCGTGTTGTATTGGGGGCTGTTTAGGGAGTACGGGAAAAAATTAAAGAAAATTAATTCTTATAAAAAACTGAAATATTGGTAAAAAAACGGACCAAAAATTATGCAACAATGTTTTTCAAGATGATCTGACTCATTAACATTACGTTAATACCGGTTGCTTCTTACATATGAAAGATCAATTGAAAATGAAATAGGTTAGGGTAACTGTAAAAAGTTATGGTTCAATGATCGATTTACAACTCATACCTTTCACTTCGTTGATCACTTATCACGAAAAACATTATGGTGATAAATGATCAAGCGAAACTTTCGTATTGAATATTTTTCACTAAAATAAAAAAATTAAAATTAGATGTAAAAACGGGGCGGGCGAAGTTCAATCAATATTGGTTAGGAACTCAAAAACAGTTGAAGATGAATATATAAGATTCATATCGAATAGGCCTAGAATTTTTCGTATAATTCGAATACGGAATGAAAAGTGCGCCACTTAAAGAATGTAAGTTTGGTCGGCCACTTGAATTTGAGACACCCTGTATCAATTGAGATTATCTTAAATTAATGTATTTAATATTTTGCTCTAAATTGCAGATTTGAAGTAAAAACGGGGTGGCCAAAGTTCGACCAATATTGGTTAACTCAAGAAAAATTGAAGATCAATGCAGAAGGTTTATATCGCATAGATCTAAAATTGTGCGTACAGTTCGAATATTCAATAAAAGGTACGCAATTCCATGTAAAAAAATGAGAAACTATCAATAAAAAAATGTAAAACTAAAGAAATGTATGTTTAAAAAAATAAAAAAAGAGCATTAATTAAATTAAATCAAGAAAATTCAGTTGCCCACATGCTTAATATCTCATCATAATGCATAATATTTATGCTGTGCCCATGTTAAAATTTGAAGTTGACCGAAGAAACTAAAATTCCCTTATAAATCACCTAAATTAAATCTCATCTCGCCAAAATTATTTATTGTTTTTCTAAACAATGAAGTTTAAGTCAAAGCTAAAAACTCGATAATTTGTAAAAAAACGAAGACCCACAGCTAATTTTACAGATTTGTATTCATTTAGTCCTGTTAAACAATTTGTTAAGATTCACGTCCTATTTTTAAATGTGCAGAAGTGATGCGTTTGTTATCAGCCTAAACAATAGGCAACACCGTCCTACCTTCGTTTGAAGTCAACGATAAAGTCAAGTAAGTAAAAAAGTTGACGGTAGTTAAAAATAAAAATAAAAAGATAATAATAATAACAAAGTCACAGTTTGACTGCAACGATCAGGGACGGTTTTGCCGGTTGCTCCCATTCCAGCTAAATTTCTTAATCCTTAATCATTTCATTAAGTAATACTGATAATTAACAGTCTACAGTAGAAATGAAGAACCAGCTCCTACATAAAGGGTTTATGTTCAATATAAAAATATTGAGAAGGCTCCAAGGCCCTACGCAATTTATTAATACACTTTTTTGCCTTTTCCTAAATTAATTTCTTTATTTAATGGAATTTTTCTCTTACAGTCTGACCCTAGAACTCGTAGGATACTCTCTATGTGCCAGCTATTGATTACCTTTTGATAAATAATTTGTTCGTTATTATGAAATGAAAGCACTCTTTATCAATCTGCAATTAAAAAAGTGAAGGAATACTGTCTTTTGTAAAGGAGAAAAATTTTGAGGCAAAATACCCTATGAAAAGGATTTCAAAACACTCTATAGGGTTAAAGAAAGTATCAACTTGGGACCCGGGAAACTAAGTATATTGCTGCGTGAAGATTTATTAGTTCGAGTCCATTCATGGTTTTCTTTGTGTAAAATTAGTGAGTATGTGAGATGACAAACATCTTCTTGAGTGGCTAATAATTTAAGCACACATCCTTTAAAAAAGTGGAATGAAAATGGATTTCTTCTTAACACAATGTCAATCGACATATCGGTATGCGAAAAGCGAAACCTCCTAAGAATTCGATTATAATGGTCAAGGCGAAGGCGAGGTGAATTTCATTTTCATTAATGACTGTGACAATGGCGAAAAAGAAATTTTCATCTAATTTTAATTGCTTGCCAGACGTAGCGCTTTCTATTCTGAAAAAGTATCGCCAATATGTATGTAATGACGAAACGAAAATGCGCGCGTGATGTATGGTTTATACAAAGAATGTCTGCACTGGTGTCATCCATATTTTCTTTACACTGTAGGGAGTTTACGGTCAAATGGCAATAGTGATTTTTTTATCAAAAAGATGCAGATGGGGCTGTATAGAAAAATGTATTCGTAGCTGCTTAAAAATTACAAGCTATTCTACAACACTTTGCAAATTATAACTGTAGCAGTTGATCAGATATAGAATGTGCAAAAATTTGATGTTAACTCAGTGATTTAAGTGTATTCTTCAGATAAAAAAGTCGCAAATGATGCTGTACTATAAATAATATATTCACGTGTTAATTCAATGTGAGAAAAAATTATTGTTTTTAAATCTAATATCACAAGGTTGGGTTAACTTGGCGCGAGTATACTTGATGTGGAATAAGGGAAAAATATAAGTAAGACCTAAAAATCATTTCCACAGCCGGCAAGCTCATGAGAAAATAGGGTATTTTACATTTTTTGCTATAAGGTCAATCATAGCTTTATAGCAAGTGAATTTTTTTGCGAAAACTATGTTGGTTATGTATTTTAATCTATAAGGATACGTAAAATTTTATAATTTTTTGTTGTCATATTGAGATTAAGAACGTTGAAAATTATTATTTTGTAAACAAAATTATTATAATTGCTCGACTCGATGGTTGTGGCCTTGGGGTGTGAGAGCTTCTAGTTTTTAAATCTGCAGTTTTTAAGTATATGAACTTGAAAGTTATTTTATAAGCTTAATGGATTTAGAATTTTGAAGCTTTGGTTTTTTATGTGGTCTGTGATTTTATAATCTAAAAATCGCGGATTGTAGAGTTGTGAAAACTCCCATCTTGAGATATGAATTGCATAATTTTAATTTTAGAGTGACTTTCTTTTTCTGAACAAAAAAACTGTTAAAATCAGGGATTTTCTGGTATTTTGTTGGCCAGTAACATAGCATATATCAGCGTTTATAATTAATTATTTAATAGTTATGATATTCTTATCAATATCAATTCAAATGTAAGCAATTTTCCGGAAAAATGGCTTAATCTGAAAAACGTTTTTTGGTGGTTAAACGACAATTATTTTACTTTGCGGTTAAACTCGTCACTATTCATACATATTTTTTATTCCCAATCAAGTATCTATTTATAATTAAAACTGATAAGTATCAAATTGTTTTCTCATACAATTGCGGAAACCCACAGATAATTATAGATTTTCGCCGTTTCCTATTTAGAAAAAATTAACTCTGAAATATAACTTTAGAAAATCTTATCGTAAATAAACAATTTCTTGTAAAAACTTGTTATGATATTACTGGGTCTCAGTCAAAGTGTGAAGAAAAAATTTTGAAACATCGTTTATTTTATTACGTTTCTGCGAGACAACAGCGCCATCATCAGATTTAAAATGTATGCAAACTACAAACACCAATCCACAATTAAACATGTTGTATAAAAATTCTAATTTACAAAGTGTTAAAACATTCATCAGTTTTTGAGGGAAAAATATTCTTTCTTTTAGGAGAACAAAACATCGGAAAAACTTACCTCATGCTTGGTAAAAATCAACCTTTTAGGTCTTTGCTTTCTTGAAAACCTTAAGTTTGTCTGAATTATTTTCTACATTTGCGAGAGTGGTTTAATTTTTCACTAGTGTACCGGGTGTTTCATACTTATGGCTTGGTAAATGTTGCTAAGGTTGTCGGTATCTGATCTGAAATTTACGGCTTTCACATGTTTTTTTATTTGTAACATTTCTTGGATTCTTCTTTTATGAACGTCTCGTCGAAACGTAATGAAATAAACGATGTTTCAAAATTTTTACTTCACACTTTCACTGAAACCCAGTAATATCATAACAAGTTTTTACAAGAAATTGTTTATCTACGATAAGATTTTCTAAAGTTATATTTCAGAGTGATTTTTTTCTAAATAGGAAACGGCGAAAATCCATAATTATCTGTGGGTTTCCGCAATTGTATGAGAAAACAATTTGATACTTATTAGTTTTAATTATAAATAGATACTTGATTGAGAATAAAAAATATGTATGAATAGTGATGAGTTTAACCGCAAAGTAAAATAATTGTCGTTTAACCACCAAAAAACTTTTTTCAGATTAAGCCATTTTTCCGGAAAATGGCTTACATTTGAATTCAGCAGATTAAAATACATAACCAACGTGATTTGCGCAAAAAAAAATCACTCGCTATAAAGCTATGATCGATTTTATAGCAAAACGTGTAAAATACCCTATTTCCTCATGAAATGCCCGGCCGTGGAAATTATGTTTAGTACTTACTTATATTTTTCCCTTATTCCACATTAAGTCAAGTATACTCGAGGCCAAATTTCATCCAAATCACTTGACCCAATTTTGAAATATTAGGTTTACGAACAAGATTTTATTTCACACTGCGGCATATTTAAATGTAATAATATTTCCGGAAGCCAAAAAAAAAAACATGCAAAATAATATGAATGTTTCTTGGCTCCGAGAAATATGGTATGGTTTCAAATATTTGAAGCCATGAATATTGTTTTTAATGTTTCTTTGCCTTTGCCACCTTTGCGTTTTTTGGATCCGTTAAAAATAAACTTAAATAAGTCAGTTATTAGTAACTAATTAAGCTGCACATCG